TCTGCAAATTTACTGAGGGTGCTCTCAGTGCTCTCAGAGATCATTGATGAAGATGTTAGAGAGGAGCAGCCCCAGCCCTGAGCCCTGGGGACACTGCTTGTGACCCCAGCCAGATTTAATTCCACTCCCCACCACTCTCTGGGCATGGCCACCCGGCCAGTGGTGACCCAGCGGAGCGTGTCCCCAGCCAGGCCCTGGGAAGCCAGCTGTGTTGTGGGAATGCTGTGGGTTATGCTTGCAGCTGTGGATTCCCAACCCACCTCCTGGGAGATATCTTCTCGGGGGGCCAGCTGCTGGCTGATGGCAGCAAGGGAGGCCTGGTCCACCTCCCTCATGCATCTGTTCAGGACCTCGATGGCCTCGTCACACTCCCGCTGTCCTGGAGCTTTGTCCCTGTGTGACAGATAGATCAGCTCAGCCCCCAGCCTCAGCTGGTGCTGGTGAGGGGCAAGACCCCTCTCCTAAGCTTTGGGGCAACACAGCATCACAGAGCCCAGGCACGCTGGCACGTGTTCCCATCAACCCATGCCAGGGCTGGAGGAACAGCTCCCATGCAAGACAAGAGGGGTGGGACAGAATTGTTCTGGTTGGAAGAGACCTTCAAGATCATCAAAAGTCCAGGATCCCATCTCCCATCCCATCCCTTGCTTCCCACCACTGGCAGTAGCCAAAGAGCTCATGAGCCAGAACATCCGCAGGGATGCTCACTCAAAGCAGGCGTACCTGCCTGCTTGGACAGGGCCATGGCCAAGAAAGCAGGACTCTCCTCACCTCATGTTGGTGATCAGCTTCTTGATGGAGTCTGAGACAGTGCGAGAGTGGCCAGCCAGCACTGACCACTGCGGGGGGTCCTTGGGGTTGACAGCAAGAGAGCGGGCGGTCTGGATGAGGCCAGCAGAGCTCTCCAGCATGGTCTTGGCTGAAGAGACAATGGGCTCCATGGCTCTGCGCCCCTGCAAGAAGAGACAATAGATTGGTGACATGTGCAAGGGACTGTGCATGGAATATTACCGCCTACTCCAGTGCTGCTCAACCCAGAGCAGCCTCTTGAAGCCCAAGGCTTGCTACCACCTCCCCATCACATCCCTCTCGAGGCACCAGCTCCACACCAAGACCCCCATTCCAAGCTTTGGGGAGGCACAACTCCTCCCCACCCTTCAACAGCCCTGTCACAGGCCACATCCACCCTTCCCCTGCTGCATCCCACCTCTGGGCTGATCTGTGCAGGAACGGTGGCAAACTCTGGGTTGGAGGCGAAGGCTGTCAGGTTATCCACGGCCTCTATGAGAGGGGCGGTGGCGGCGCGGCACCTCTCCCGGTTCTCCTCGTTGAACTCGCCATCCAGGGCCTGGTGTGGAGAGAACAGAGTGGTTATCCAACCCCCACCATGCCCCAAATCCCGTCCCACCGTCATGCCCCGGCAGGGAGATCGCACCTTGATGGTCTTCACCAGGTTGGCCGTGCTGTTGGCCACCTCTTTGGCTGACTGGACGAACTGGCGCTTGGCCACGGGGTTGGCGGTGCGGGAGGAGGCCAGGCGGCACGTGTTGCACAGTGCCGAGGTGTGCTTTGCCACGATGGTGGCTGCTGACAGCACCTGTGGAGGAGAACAGGGTGAGGCAGGATCCACCATGAACGCCCACCCCTGCAGCTCTCCCTTCCCACCAGCCCCACGTGGGGCACCAGTGAGCAGAAAGGGGCCTCCTGGGACCCGAGATCGACCGCCAAGGTCTTGCACACCCACGCAGCCCCCCATCTGTACTGTCACTTTTGCACCAATCCTGCCAGCTGGTTCACAGGACAGCTGCTGTGGCCTGACAAGACACTAGCCATAATCTTGGCCAGCTCCTGGGATGCAGCTCTTTCAACTAGCTTCACACTCTGTTTTGTGCAAGAAAATGCCCGTAGTGGTACCCCACCTCATACTCACCTGGGACTGGGTGCAGGCGGGGTCCACCAGGTTCTGGCAGGCCATCTGGATGGCTTGGTTAGCTCTGGCAAACTGAGTGGGGTCTACCAAGCCCTGCTGTCCAGCTTGGCTGTTGGGGTCTGAGACTCCCACGAGGTAGGCAGCCTAGGAGCACAGGAGACTGCTTGCACATGGCAGGGAGGCTCAGAGCAGGCACAGGCTGCAGAGGAGGCTGGCAGCACCGTCCCGTGGGGCTGGGCTTGGAGGGGCAAGGGAGGGGTGCGTATGGCAACTGTGTGCCAGGAGCACTGTGCAGGGCTGGGGCCAAGCGTGTCTCACCTGGGCAGCTGCCTCTGTCAGTCCGCAGAGAGCCTTGGAGGCGGCACTGATGGAGTCGCCAAACTCGGGCAGTTTGCTGTTCTTGGCATTCTGGGAGATGCCAGCCATCGACTCGCCCAGCACCTGCAGGACACACCACGCACTAGTTATGAAGACCACTTCCTGCTCCTCCAGTGATTTTAGGCTCAGAGCTCACTGTGCTTTGTCAGTGGGGGAGGAATCATCTTTCCCTTTGCTCCCACATTCTTTCCAAATTCCCCCTGTCCTTCCCCACACCTCCATTTCCAGCTCAGAGCTCACCTTGGAGTTCTCCATGACGCTGTCAAGGCAGTTGAAGTAGGACATGTCATTGACGGTCTGGGTGGGGTTCTCCAACAGTTCCTTCACCGTCTGCAGGGATATGGGTGTCACATCCACAGGAAGGGTCCACACCCTCTACCTGCACTTCCTCTTCGCTCCTTCCTGCCCAAGCAGTGGGAAGCAGTTCCCCCCACCCCACCATCTCAGCACCTCGCCATCTCAATCCCCCCAGCTGCCTCACCAAGACGAGGCTTCTCACCTCCAGCTCCCGCAGGGCATTGTCGCACTCCTTCTGGCCTGGCGCTTGCTGGGTGCACATGGTGATCAGCTGGTTAATGCTGTCGGTCACGGCCCTGCAGGGGACCAGGGAGAAAGAGCCACGGATCAGCACCAGCTCCACCACCCAGCCCCACTGCTAGCGCAAACAGCTCACAAGGAGCGGTTCTTCCTACCGTGCTGCTGCTGCCAGCTGGTTCTTGAGGTTGGGGGCTGCGGGGTCGGCAGAGAGAGCCTTTGCAGCCAGCAGCAGCTTGCTAGAGGACATGGAGATGCTCTTCAGGTTCGACACCACCTGCGCCTGGTCTTCCTTATTCTGCAAGGAGCCAGAATAGTTACCTGCAGCAAGTTTCCAAGCTCCACGCCCACCCTGTGTCTTCTCCAGTGGCTTTCAGGCTGAGCCGGTTCCCTTCATCTAACTTATTTGCCAACAGCAAGGATATGGTGGAAACACTCACTGAACTAATCCAAGCCACTTTCTCCCTGCTGCTCTGATTTTACATGGCTCTAGACCCCATTTCACTTGCCACGCTGGCCACAGCCACCGTAACCACCACTGCCCAGCCACCCTGCCTCCAGTCAGGCACCTTCTCAGGGCATCCCAAACCTCTCACCACACCCACCATCCCCCAACAGGCGCTTCCTCTCACCGGGGACTGGCTGGCCATCTCCACTCCTGCCTGCAGAAACTCATTGAAGTCCTGCCCAAATTTGCCAGAGGACTTGGCCAGGTCCTGAGGGGTGCCACGCGATGCCTGCACCAGCTCGTTGGCAGACTGGTTGAGTCCCGCGGCTGCCCGGTTCAGCTGGCTCTGCGCCTCCTGGAAGCTCTTGGTGCTGGGAGGGAACTGGAGGTGGGGAGAGGGGTTAGGACAGGCAGCAAGGAGGATGGAGTTGGAGCATGAGAGTCTGGTACACGCTTAGGGACATGCTACAGAGGACCCTGATGTGGACAGATCGTCTCACATCCCTGCGAGG